TCTCTAAGCCCTCGGTGTAGGCCTTTCCCAGAACTTGACCGTGTACTGCAACTGTAAGTGGTATGCTTGTGTTCAGGAATACTAATGGCGTTCTACCCTCCATGGATAAAAGCCGAGCAGAATGATAAAGGTGAATGCAAAGCGGCGGAGTGTAATCTTGTCCGTTCCAAATATTAACGCCTAAAAACCCGCAATTGTAAAAAGTTTTATTTTTTAAAGAGCACCGAGCACCTTATACCCTCATAGGGGTGCAAAGGGCTCTGCTCGAAAATGGTAGCATGCTGGAGCCCAACTGAAGTTTTGGTTTAAATCCCCTAAATATATTCCAGGTGTATCAAAGACTGCAGGTGTTGTGGGTGAGGAGGCCTCATGCACAGGTGTTGGAAGACATGGACATGGGTTCAGATGGCTTGTTGAAGGGTCTGTCTACTCGAGGAAGCGGTGATCTATCTGAAGAGGTTAGACATGCCCCCTGCTGAGTCTAGTATAGGGCACATACATTTTACTGATTGGAGAGCTATAGTTCTAACTTAGTAAGAGGGTCTCAGACCTCTGCAGGGAGACCACTGCTTCAACACAGAGAGCAAGAGACCTTCACTGCAGCATGCTGGTAGGGGACAGGCTTTTCTATGGAGGCTGTGACTGCTTTTCTAAAGGAAACAAGCCACAAGACTTTGCACACCTTTTTCCTCGAGTAGACAGACCCTTCCACAAGCCATCTGACCCAGTGTCCATGTCTCCTCTCTGCCTCTTTCTATGTAATAGTTATGCCACAATGTTTTTATTTCTAAAGATATTGAGCTATTCTGGATGGAGGCCGTAAAAAATGGCGCCATCATTCAGCCGCAGCAGAGGCCGTAGGGTGATGGGTGGCATTTGTTATAGAGTTATTTTGGTTCTCTGTTCCGCTGTTTGGAAGATGACGGACTTCCGAGATCCATTTTAATTTCTGATGACAAGGCCGCCGATGACGTCACAGAAGGACCATGGAAGTGATTCACAGTACTGGGAAGCCGTGGGTATTTGAGAACAGGAATTGATGAGACGCAAGTCATTTCTGGGACGCTGATGGCTGGCATGCTCAGGATGTGTGCAGGAAGCAGTCTTCGTACATCAGAACCCTGGTTCTTACAATGCCGTTTGAAACTTGAAATGTCAGCTGTTGCTTCAGTTCTAATTTCCACGTGTCTCATAAGTCAAGAATGTCGCCACTTTCCATGGAATCCGTAATTGTATTCCTAACACATCAGGTTTTTTCTTTTCATATTCTCTATCCTACGAGCTGCTATACTGTCTTAACTTCTCAGGAGGCGAGGCAGCGGCACAGTCTGCAGAATGGCAGGTTGTGAAAAGACAAAAACATCCTTTTAAATAATAAAAAAGGAATAATTATAGCGAATACATGGGAAAAAGTGTCATGTATTACCTTCATTCCATTATCCAGTGGTGGTCCTTTTTATTACATTCTTTTATGAGAGATCCTTTCCATCTCTAGGGAACAGACAGCGTGTGAACTTCACTATAAGGATTGCCCTATGTATTATTATTTTATTACCCCCCCCCCCCAACAGCGACCATGTAAGAACCCTCACTAACAAGCCACAGCTCTGAGGAAATGACTCTGGGGCGCGAGGACCAGAATAGAACCCAAACTCTTCCTGCGTGGAGCCTGCTAGGCCGCTGCGGCTTGGAGCGGCCCGGGACCTCTAGATATTATCGGAGTTTAATTGATTACCAGGAAAGAAAGAGGGAACACGAAGAGGTTTTTATTGCTGTTCAGATACAGTAAATGGGCCAGACATGGCGCAGCAGCCGCGTTCCCCCTCTTCCATCCCTCAGAAAACCTTTTTAGAGATTGTTACCGCAGCCTCTACAACCACACCGTAAATGTCATGAATTTTTATTGCTCTATTTCATCTCACTTTGTGTCCTCGTAAAACTGGGTCCAGTACATTGGTTTTTTTTTTTTTTTTTTTCTTCTCGTCTTTGATCCACTTGCATTGTCTTAATCAGGTCTCTGTTGCCAGTGGCTTTGTGTGTAGGCCTCAAAGAGGTGGCATCCATCTTGTCAGGTCAGGTAGCAGTACCCAAATAAACAGCCTGTTTTTTTTGGGGGGGGGCTGCTCATGACTGAGTGTGTGACCTCAAGCTTTGTATGCTTGTTTGATGCTATTGCACCACAACGTAAGGTGTATGTGCCTTGCCAAATGTTCCTCAGTGGCAACCCAATGCGCATATGCAATGTAAATGCCCCTGACCTTTAGTGCACCACAACACACAGATGTGTGCAATGTGGTGGCAAAAATAGGGCAGGTGCATCTTTTTATGTATTGGGACACAGTAAGGGCCCATTCAAACTGAATGGGCTGCTTTAATGTGGCACATTGCTAATGCACATGTGGGTCCTGCCTTAGAAAAATGGGCCGGTTTGGGGTGGCATTGATTTGATTTGTGGTGGATTAAAGAGGAACTTAACCAGGCAAAGGGAAACTAAGCCAGCAGCTGCTGACTTTTAAAAAACCCATACTTACCAGCCCATTAAGTCTAGCGCTGTCTGCCTCAATTCTAAACAGGGTTTTCTGATCTTCCATGTCGCCATCTTGAATTTGGGAGCCGGCCATCAGTTCCTGATGACTCAGAGCTGGCCTCCTAATGTGCATGCATGAGACAGGTCTACAGGGAGACAATCCCCCTGTGATGTGTGATGTGGTCCCAGGAGGCAGGGGTGGGCCCAAGAGTATGTCGTCCTTGCCTGGCCGAGAAATGAGTACCTGCAGGAAAAGGTACTTCTCAAAAAAGTTCAAAACTTAGAAGACCCGTGATGCATATAGCTGCAGGGAGCTGGAGGGGAAAAGAGTTGAGATGTAGGTGCTGGGAACCGCTAGCAGAGACCCAACAGGGGGCTTATTTAGGTGTTGCAGATCCACGAGCTGTTCCCCAGACTGGTGGATGTGCATCCCCGTAATATGCATAGCAAAAGATCAGAAGTTCTGCCTCCTAATCTTTTCTGATGACTGGGATGTGGGTAATGGCTTGGGTATGACCTGCGATGAAGAACCAGATGACATTCTCAACTTTTATAGAAGTCAAGCAGTATAACTCGATGTTGTGTACGGTTAGTAATGACCCAGTTTTGCCTCCTAATCTTTTCCGATGTACTTGTTAGGGATGTGGTTGATAGTTCAGGCATGACCTGCGATGAAGACCTGTAGAAGCAAAGAAAAGAAAATCAAGCAGTATAACCCGATGTCGTGTAGAGTTACTAATGATTTTTGTCTTTAATAAAATTCTCTTTTGAGGGTTTGTCAATTTTTCATTGTAACACTTTACCAAATCTGGGGAATCAATTGGCCATTATTGGTTGGGCACACAAAATTGGTGGCTGTCCTCTGGACGAAGCTGCCTCCATGACAACTCATGGCTCTTCAATTTGTTGATTGGCCAATATTGGTTGGGCACACAAAATTGGTGGCTGTCCTCTGGACCAAGTGGCCTCCATGACACTACATGGCTTTTCAATTTGTTGATTGGCCAATATTGGTTGGGCACACAAAATTGGTGGCTGTCCTCTGGACCAAGTGGCCTCCATGACACTGCATGGCTTTTCAATTTGTTGATTGGCCAATATTGGTTGGGCACACAAAATTGGTGGCTGTCCTCTGGACCAAGCTGCCTCCATGACACTACATGGCTCTTCAATTTGTTGATTGGCCAATATTGGTTGGGCGCACAAAATTGTTGGCTTTCCTCCAGACTGAGTTGCCTCCATGACACTGTTTGGCTCCTCCAATTCTTTGACTTAAATTATTTCCTTACCATTTCCATTTTCATCCTCCGATTACTCTTTAACTTTTCGGTTGAGTTTTTTTTTTTTGCTATGTTAATCCCCTTGCCGCCCATTTTCCTTCCTTAATGTTCCATATTTATGCCCCCCGCCC